AGAGAAGAAATAAATCCACATTGTGAATTAATTCAGTCTTTGTGATAATGTATTTTTATAATATAAAATGTTTACAATATATATTTTTTTAAATAAAATTAAATAATTTTATTTAAAAAAATTACTTTTTTACTGATTATGATTAAACATATAAAAACTAAATCGAAATAATTAAAGAAATTTATATTTTGATGTGTTTAAAAATGTTATATGACAATTTTTAATTTACATGGCACAGTAATTAATTTGTTTGAAATAGTGGCTCAATGGAACTCTATGAGTCAGTATTAAATAATGGAAATCTGTATTAAGACTGGCTTACTATTAAAATGTTTAAAATTTTATTTAACATGTTAGAGCTTTGTTTTTTCTGTTTTATTAAAAAAATAAAAAAAATATTTAATAATTTTTTTGCCGCATTCAATAAAATAAAAAAAGAGAAGAAACCCGTTTGAACTTCTTTGTGGATTATTTTGTGATTTTAGTTAAATTATTATTCAATTTATAAAAAAAATCACTAAGATATTCAAATTATTGTGATTCCAAACCCATCTTCGAATATTTCTTAACATATAGCAATTTGTAATATGTTATGAAACAAATATTAGCAATTAATGTTCTGTCGCTGCTCGAAGTGACATTTTATCTACCCAATTTACACGAATTCAAAGAGTGTTGTTAAAAAATCAACGTACACACTTTTACAATAAGAGAGAATGGTTCTTTAGTTATTTTTTTGTTTTTTTTTAAATTATCATTAAATCATTAATCCCAAAAATTCTCTATTTAATATTTGGGATTATTCAATAAAAATGTTATATTAAAAATATTTTTGTTTTAGAAGTTTGGCAAAATAGTAAGTTGTGTTTTATTTGAAAAAGTTATTAAACATAATTTTTAATTTATAATAATTGTTTTAAAAATAAAAATAATTCAACACAATTTTTATCCATTTTTTGAAACATAATGAATTAAACAAATCTTAATAATTTTACTATATTAATAGTATTTAATAACAAAAAGAAACTAAATTATTGAATTGTTTTTTGTAAAAACGTTTAATGTTTTCGGTTCAAATAGATATTGAGTAACAATTTCTATTTAATAGTTATTAAATTAAAACCATCTTTTTTTACAAAACTATCATTAATAATAATGAAAGTACTAATTATATACTATACTATTCCATTATTGTTTAATAATTATAAAACAATAACAAGAGTTTTATTAGTCTGTTTGTCGGTTCTTCTTTGTGTTAAAATATTAACCATAAATTTTTAATCCACGAATTATAAATATAAATATAAATAGTTAAACGAAATCTAAGCCATAAAAAATTCAGCAAAACTGACTTAAAAAAACAGTGAATGTCGGCCTCTCCGAAAAGTGAACGAAATCGGAGATCGATCAACTCTGCCATGGCGTTTTCCCAGTCCATGCGTCTTGAGGAAAGTCCCGAAACGACAAAGAGAGTTTGTGAATAGTTTATTATACTTATTTTTACTATATTCCACAATCATTTGTTTCCATTGAGAACTTTGAATATTTCTTTCCCAATTTGTGACTAACTCAAACAAACAAAGTAATCAAAAGAAAATTAATCTGCACGTTGTAAAAATGGCGGAGCCCTCTCAACAACCAAGTCCATCTCCTCGACGACAAACTTCTGGCTATTTTCTTATTAACCCCCTTTCAACGTCTTCAAACAAAGACAAACAGTTCAACTCGTTCTATTGCGAAATAGATGACATGACGACTCGTGACTTAAACATGGAAGGCGTCCCATTGTGTCTTGTTGAAATTTTGAAATACATCGAAAAGAGTGTTCGAGCCAATCCCACGTTATTTAAAGATAAACCAATAGGGGCGTTCCCTTGTATTCAATTGTTGACGCCAAACAAAACAATTCTGTCGATGACGTTGCGTCATATCAATGAACACGAGACGTCAAAGTCATTACAACGCCTTGGAGTGAGTAAAAAGGATGCGAAAAAGATCAAATTGTTTTCATTAGAACACGACTACTCGTCTTTCTTTAGTTTGTTCTTCTCATGTCGAGTCAGCAGAGTTGTTAATTAATAACTAATTAATAACAAATTAATATCAAGTGAAACTCAACGCAAATGCAAATTTTCTGAACGCGCACTTCTCCCAAATGAAACGAATGATCGACGCGTTTAATGTCATTCCATCAACACGAGACTTGGAAAACGTCAGGACCGCCTTTATATTACTCAAACTGTTCTTCTTGTTCCTCCCAACACCAATTCTCCCTCCGGAATTCCTGAAGAAACTCTCAAAAATGTATAAAGCAAATCCGATGGACTTAGTCGGCAACAGACAAACTATAAGAAGTGCTATTGGCGAAAGGAGGGAGAAAATAGTTAATAAAACTATTAACTTTCTTATTGAATTATCGCTCATCACTGCAATGGAAAAGCAAGAAATTGATGAGATGGTGTCTTGCTTTGTGAAGGCTATGGCTTGCACAGACAACCAAATTTCTACGAATGTCATCGACTCACTACTTGTGTTGTGGAAGGCAGACTGCTCCAACGACTCAAATATTTTAAATCACTTAGAAGGCGAAGTCGTGTTAAGAAAGTACGAACGCGCAGAATGTCTGAAGTACATGTGCGTTGATGGGTCGTTGTGGGGGTCTCGAGAGAAGAACGAAGACGTTGTCTCTGGCATCCTTTTCATCACGACGTTTCGAATTATCTTCTGTCCGTTCGACGAGGTGCAAGTCAACAAATTTGTGTCTGAGATCTCCGTCATTAACATTGCAGCGGTCAAAGTGTATGGAGATAAAACAATCACTGGTGCTCAGAACAACATTTTCTATTTGCGTGTTGTTGGGAAGAATTTGGTCTGCACGACATTCAAAGTGTTTGAATGTATTAAAGACGATTTTGTTCAGTTACTTTCGAAGTTACAACAAGACTACATCGTCGATTTGTTTGTTTCTAGTATCATTTACTATTGAGTATAGTTAGCGCATAAGAATGATAAGAATACTATTACTGTTACTATTAATAACAAGTAGAGTACCGACACTCGAAAAGGACGCAATTGAACGCGACGCCAAGAGAATGAACATCACACAGAAATGCTTTAATTGGTACACCCCACCCCTCCCTTTATATGGGATTGCTGAACGACCAATTGTTGTTTCATTCAAATCTCCAAGTGGGAGTTTGTTGCTCAGATTTGGTACTGTTCGAGAGTGTTCCGTTTCGAATGGAGTCACCAACAAAACGCCGACAGTGAAAGTGGAAAATTTGAATCAGTTTGCTTGTAGAACAGTCGAACCAATAGGAGAAATGGAGAGATGTTTTAGTCGCATGCAAATATTAGTAGGGCGACACACGACGGATACTTCAAATGATGAATTTGACGAGAAGGTCATGATGATCTCGCGATGTGTTGATGGGTTTGTCTCGCTGTCGATCATATTAGTCAAACAATTGAATGAGAAGAAAGACGTATTGTTGGTCCCAAGAGACTTAAATAGCGAAGACAACGTCGTAGCGTTTGAAGTGTTAGCTGAAGTGATATCCGATCCTTTCTATAGAACACTTGAAGGTCTTATTGTGATACTGAAAAAGCAAAGTATGGCTGAGAGTGAAATAGTCTTAGTGTTACTTATAGTGGCCATTGACGCAGTAATGAAGCAGAACTTCTCGAAATTCCAATACAATGAAGAGCTTCTGCTCTTGTTGTTTGATAACTTGTTCCAACGTAACGATGTGTCTTCCCTTGAAGGTGTGATATCGACAATTTCAAAGAACAAGAGTCTGTATATGAATACGTTGTATAACACACAATCACAGAACGACACAACACCATTAACGTGGAGACATATCAATGGGATGAACTGTTATTGTTTCCAGCGGTGGAGAGTGTTGATGGAAAAGAATTCAAAATTTGACATGAAGATATCGAAGTGTGATACGAAGACAACGGAACTGTTTAATAAAGAACAAAACATCGTTAGAATACCACAACACCTCATTAATCTGCAACACCTGGCTCTTATAGACCTCTCCGGAAATGAACTCTCCGAGTTTCCAAAGGAAATATGCCAACTGCCGCACCTGAGAAGTCTTAACTTGTCGTCAAACAAAATTGGAGTTGTCACTGAAGAGGTCTCAAGACTTACGACTCTTCAAAATTTGAACTTGAGAAACAATTTGATCATCTCCCTCCCTTCATTCATTCAAGTACCTCTCCTCTTCTTCGACATCTCGTATAACCCAATTGCAGACGTCAACAAAGGTATAACACCAATTTTCCGTTTAAATCCATCGCTTGAAGTCTTTATAGGGGAGGACTTGAAACGATTTCCAAATGAATTGAGTAAAATGAGCGAACTCGTTTCGCTTGATATTTCTAACACGATATTTAACATCGACGAGTTCATCGCAAACCCTCCGATCAAATTGACTGAACTCAAACTGCGCAATTGTGGGCTGAAATGTATTCCAAATAACTTGTGGAATCTGAAGCTGAAGAAATTGGATGTGCGAGATAACGCGATTCTCAAGATAGACTACGAATTCTTTTCTATGACCACATTGGAAGAGGTTGACTTTCGAGGCAATGGAATCAAGCGGAAAAGTGTACTATTTAAGAAACTTTTTAATTTGAAAAAGGCATTCATTGACTCTACTGCAAAGGCGGAAAGGATATTAGACCAACATCGCGTTATAGAAGCTGTCACAGACATTGATAAAGTGGTTATTACCGGTGATGATTTTCGTAGTGAAGTATTTAATATTCTTCAAAAGAAAATGAAGGAGTACGGACGAGTAGTTGAAACGAATGGGAGTTTCTACTTTTCGCCGAGTATTAAAAGAAAGAAGATTGACAGTTACGGGGAGAAGGTTGAATTTTGTATTGGCAAGATAAAGGCGATAGAAGAGAAGATGTGGGAGAACCGTCGTAAGTTATACGTAGTGTGTCGGAACAGTTGTGGGAAGACGAGTGAGCGTGTGTTGAGTGCGTTGATGTCTGTTGGAGTGACGAAAGGGGTAGTGATAGTGATAGAGAGTGACTTGAGTGTGAAAGATTTAGGGAAATATGGGGTGTTGAATACCAAATACATTCAAGTGTCGAACAAAGAAAAGAAGTATAGTGAATTAGCAAGTTATTTGAACAACGAAATTAAACTGCGGAGCGAGAAGAGTGAAGATGGATGTGATCTAGTTGTGAACGAACTAGGGATTGTTGGTGTTACCCAGTTCAATATGACCGAACCCCAATTTTCGGAGTTCATTTCTCTGTTAAATCTGCCCATCAACCAAAGTCTTGTCATTTCAAAATGGTTGCAAGAAAATGGGTACATCATTTCATTACCCGAATCGCGCGATTGCTTCATTCCCACGTCTTCAAATGCAACCGACAAACGCATTTTAGTCGATTTGACGTTCTTTGAGGCGGTCAAAGACGCGATATTTAAAGGGGAACTCCTCCGAGGGTTTTGTGATGGGCGACTGTTTGATCGACTTCACATTAAAGCGTCGAGTAAACCATTTTTGTTGGAAATGATGAGTTACTATGGGATATGCTTCTCACTCTCATACAAGTGCGCAAAGAGCTTTGGTCTTACAAAACAGTTTGAAGAGGTATACACCTTAGTGAGTACCGACCGACAGAAAACCCCGAAGAGAGTGACGAAAGGCCTTTTGGCCGATGTGAAGGACTTGACGTCGTTTGTTTCGACAAAAGAAATCAAATTTGTCAAGGAAGACCTCCTCAAAACAAAAAGTGTTGAAAATTTGCCGGTGTCTGCTGTTGAAATTGAACGAAGGAATGTCACTCAGATTACTTTAAGTGACGAGAGTGTATTGGTATACCCTTACTTAAATCTCGACGACGACGAAGTTGGAGAGAAGCGCGAGATATCGCGGCGTTTGACGACTGAGTTTTCGCAGAGTGTGTTGTGTCGGTGCGAGTCGAAGAAGTTGCTTGAAAATCCGTATGTACCGAAGGGGTGGCCGCTGTACCACAAGAAGAATGAAGTTGAAGTTGGACGTGTTTACCTTCTACAAACGCACACGACCAAATTAGTGAGTTGTATCAATTGTTTTACTTCCTTGAAGTATGAAGTGGTACACCAATGGAAACAAGGTGTGGTATGTACGTGTCGAGATGGAGCGTTATTAGTATATCTCTTAGTAAGAAGTGATTTAGACGAGAAGCGTGTTTACGTTCGAGTGAGGTACCTTTTAACGAGTGATTCAGTGTGTTTCCATGGGTGTAGTGTGTTAGAAGAGACGTGTGTGATGATTGAGTCATTATTAGAGATGAACAAAGTGAAATATGAGATGTCGGTGTTATGTCCGCAGTGTTTAGTGCATGGGTTAATTCATTTAATTGATATGAAACAATTAAAAGCGAGTGTGAAAGAGTTGAATGTGTATTTAGTGTGTGGGGAGTGTCGAGTGAATTTGGTGATATCCGTCTTTGAGTTCTTTGTGTCTGCGTTTCGGTTTGACAAGCTTACGAATATCAGCGACTTTCAGTATATCAAGGGGATTGCGACGGGGTCGAATTCAGTGATCAGTTTATATGAAGTCATTCACGACACGATCGGCCTTCAAATTGGAGAGAAAGTGATCATCAAAACGTCGCAGATGGACTTTTCGAGTTCACAAATGGACGACTCGCAAACTGCGGAGGGGATGTTCACCAATTACATGCAAGAGTTCTTCAGAGAGATGAAATTTATTCGTGCGCCACATAATATTCACGTCGCTTCGATCTATGGATACTCCGTCAAACCGTTGTGCATTGTCATGGAATATTTCAATGGGGGCAACTTGTTCAATGCACTCCACGATAACAAAGGAATCGCTTTTGACTGGAAAATGCGATTGAAAATAGCAACGGATGTTGCTAAAGGCCTTGGCGTTATTCATAAGATGGGGTATATCCACAGAGACGTGAAATCTCCAAATGTTGTGCTTCGCACGGACTCACAAGGGACAATTGAAAGTTGTGCAGTCATCGACTTTGGCATGTCTGTCAAAATAATTAAGCAAAAGAGTGAGAAAGAAAAGGAAACGACTGAAGACAAAGAAGGTCCTACAGATGAGGTCGAATGCCCGTATTGGCTTGCTCCGGAAGTAATTTCAGAGCATCGAACGACTCCAAAAGTCGATGTGTATTCATACGGAATTGTGTTGTGGGAATTGGTGACTAATAAAGTCCCATTTTCTGAGTGTAAATTCTTCACAGAAGTCAAAGAGAAAATAGTAAGTGGATTACGACCATCTTTTGATGAAAAGACTGAACTCAAAGAATTAATCAAAAGATGTTGGGATCAAAACGACCTTATTAGACCAGACTTCGATGAGGTTTTAAAATACTTGGAAGAGCTTAGTCTGTCAAAACAATCATCAAAACCATCGAAAATCTCTAAAATGTTTTAAATTGTGTTTTTTAGTGGAGTTGTGTTAACTATACTATTATAATAAATAATAATAATATAATAAAATAGAAGTATAAACTATAATTAATTAAAAACAATTATTAAAAATGAATAATTTCAATGAATGAACTTTATTACAAGAATGATTCATAATTTTGGGTTTTAATAGTATTTTCTTTGGTATAATTAATAATAATCCAGATAGTAAAAACTACAACTCAAAAAGAAAAGAATGCAAGACGATTATCGCAAAAAGTATGAGGACGGACTTTATTTCATTAATCAAATCAATGAAGTCCATCAACAAATAGTTCACCGATATGAGGAGATAGCAAGTGAAATTATTCAACAGCGGAATTTGATTGAAAAGCAACGGGTGTACATTGAAAATTTAATCAATCAGATCAATACCGTGGCTCAAAAAATGGCAGAACCCACAAGGGAAAACGTTGTCTTGGAAAATAAAATGAAGTTTAATGAACAAACAGATGTTTTGGCGGTCTTGGAAACGTATCGAGGAAAGATGGAGTGGTTTATCGGAATCAAATTTGAACAGATCTTTCCCGATATGGAGGATAAAAAGAAAACACTTTTTAAAGCTGTACTCAATAGAGAAAGTGTCCTCTTCATGTTTGTCACCGAAAATAATGAAATATTTTGGATGTTCATTGAAGACGACGTGAGAGCTGACGTTGTCGACGCGAGCGTCTATTTGGTTGTTGTGCATGACACAATGCCCCAAATAAAGAATATCCAAAAGAAGCTCATTCTTGGCGATAACGAAATTGGGTTGGAAGGCGTGTTCAGGTTGAATGAATCAAAACTCGAAGTAACAAACCTTGATGTATTACCGATACAAAGCTGCAGCATTGACTCATTCCAGGTCTTGGCTAAAAAATTGGAGTGATTTTATGATTTGGTATTTTTAGATTTTTAACCAATTTTATCGCTTTGTAATATTTCTGTTTATTATTTGGTCAGAAAAAAATGGGTTTTTAATAATTTCAAATTTCCATTTCAATATTTGACATTGCGATAAAAAATTTCGATAGAAAATTGAACAGTTTCTTTTCATTTATTGGGCAATGGAAAAACTTTTCATCTTTAGAATATATGTGTTAACTTTGAAGCACTATTTTCTTTCAATATTTGTTCATTTTAAAGTTGAGAAGAGATTATTTTGATATTGTTTTATTCGCTAGAACTTAATTTAACTCTTGAAATGTTCTTTGCTTGTTTTTTATAAGATTATCATCTTCATTATATAGGCCAATAATAATTCCACACGATTGCACCACAAATCCCAGAAAGGAATACCAATAAGTTTCTTGAAACGTTCTCAAAGAACTCTAGAAACAACCTTTTCAACCTGCCGATGTCTGTTTATAGAATATTACAAGTTATAGTGAGCAAAAATACAGTCACGAAGATGTGAAAAAGAGAATAAAATTGATAAACGGAAATGGTCTGAAAGAAAGCTTTACTTGATTGATATTGGACTAAACCAAAAATATAATAACAATATAGAATAACCCGATAATTACACATTTTAGTAGCTGCATTTTAGACTCCGATATTAATTAAATGAAATTAATGTATAAACCAAATTTAATATACGGAAGTACAATTTACAAATTAAACAAGACAGACATAAAAACAAGTTACATAATAATTTTGTAAAGACTGGGAGATGTAGGGACAAACGCACTAAGTGTAATCTCAGTGAGTTCGGAGTCAGAATGGGATTTATTCACTTTGGTGTTGTCGTTCAAGTGTTTAATCAAATGTGAATAGAATCGGTTTTTGATTGAATTTGGAGCTCTATGTGGTAAGAAGGATGAGATGTGTGTCCACCTTCTTCCGAACATATTGACCTTTTCAAGGATAACATTGTCTTCATACACCGTCCAGTCTCCTTTTTGTATTGAGACCTTGAGATGATTATGGTACCTCTCTCTACATTGCTTCCTGCTTCTAGTTACAACACACCTTTCAATGACTTCCCAGTTGGAGTCTCCATTGACCCTGACAGCTTCGAGGAGTCTTGCGTCTTCTTCTTTATCCCAAGGACGGACTGATCTTGATATTGGTGAAAGTCTTGCTCTTGTACTCATCGGTTATTATAATTTGCATTGGAAGTTTTGGGGTTTAAATAGTGTGGAAGTGGATCGCACTTTCATTTATAAGGTACAAAGTTGATTTACCTATTTTTGTCCATCTCAAAAACAATTAAGCTTGGCTTATGGTGTTTTGGAATCTCTCTGTTTTCTCCCCAACTAACCAAAACCCACATTATGATGGTCAGTGTCATTTCCTTTCTTTTGAAAACTTCTGTAATTTTTGTGGTGAAGCAATTATTATGCCTCTTCTTCCCGCTTTTTAAATCCAATAATCAACACGTTATTATTATTACTTCGGATATAAAAATACATTACTTTTTTCTTCAAAAAGAGAGCCTTTTCGAAATTTTAGGCAGTTTTTGCCGCAGTCATGCAATTTATTCTCGCCGAAACAACACAATTGATATTGATTGGGATCTTAACCCACAATTTAGCTTCGTTCTTTAGTACTTGGTTTTGTAATTCATCAAGAAATCCATTTTACATTTTTAAATTGGTTCCAATAGTTTTAATGTATTATACTTATACTATATATTGCTCTGAAATAAATTTACTAACAATTATTAATTTAATTATAGTAGTTGTATAATACATAAACTGCTTCAAGTTACAAATAATGATTTGAAAAATACAAAGTGAGTTATATGGATAACGCTTTTCAAC